GTTGCATTTAATATGAACATGAACTACTAACATCTGACAACCACTTTTTGTTGTCATACTGAACAGAATATGTATTGTTTTATCATTTGAAACCTAACGTGCTTTGAATAGTTTTGCTGTCAAAAATCTAGCTTATAAAATAAATGGTGCAATGATACTCATGAATTATGACCTCAGTGGCCTCACTTTTTTTACACACACACACACACACACACACACACACACACACACACACACACACGCATGAGTATAAAAAATAGCCCATTAAACTGACAATTATTGTGTGCAGAAGCAAAATGTGACCATATTAAAAATAAATTTAAATCAATCAATCAATAACAGTACATTAAAATAGAAAGTCCTGAAAGATGTTAACTTTGCAAAAACAAGCACTTGCCTAATTAAACTTTTCACTGCAGTGTTGGCTGACAAAACTGAAACACAGCCATTTTGCCTTTAGAGATAATAACCTGAGACAAGTCATTGATGCCTGTAGGGACATTTATCGCAAAATTAGGGCAAAATATTCACTTGATTTTCATTACAGGCCAAATTTTACTTGAAATTTTCCCCCATAATATTCAAGCATATCTTTTAATACTGGGACGCATTTTACTCAGAGTGCATATTATATGTTTTCACACAATATATATCACAAATGTAAAGATTTCATAAAGAGCAGTGCAACGTATGTAAGTTATGAATACTCTGCAATTGCATTTAATTGACATGATTCATGAAAATACCAACTGAGTCTTATCAAATATATATATATATTTTTTTTTGGTGCAAACAGTCTGATTTGCATATCATGTGCAAACATACTTCACTCTGTTAGAGAAAACCTCTAATATCAGCATACCAAACGTGCAGAAGACAGGAATACTCTGCAATTGCATTTAATTGACACGATTCATGAAAATACCAACTGAGTCTTATCAAATATATATATATATTTTTTTTTTTGGTGCAAACAGTCTGATTTGCATATCATGTGCAAACATACTTCACTCTGTTAGAGAAAACCTCTAATATCAGCATACCAAACGTGCAGAAGACAGTGTCTTACCTGTTGGATGAGGGAATATATTATCCACGTAAGAGAATGACGCCACATAGCAGAGGAGTTGAAAATATAGTCCAAGTGTGAACAGAATCATGCTGCCGGCTGCGGTCTACCTCCAATAGCACCAAGGCTCTCTCTCTCTCTCTCTCTCTCTCTCTCTCACACACACACACACTAGATCCACGCCTTTAGGAGAAGTGAAGGCCAGCCAATGTCTGTTACACCTCTCCTATGTATTGGCCCTGAGCTAAATATACAGGAGGCAGCCGGTCAGCTGCCCTCTGTAGCCAATATTAGCCTGTTACTACTGCCAGAGCTGCCTTTGTTTCCCCTGCCTCAAATGGACAGGGAAAACAAAACAGAATGGACAGAAATGACATTGAAATGACAAGGTGTCATGCCAGAGGCATTGTTGAACTACCGCCATTCATTTATTGATAACACCATCCTGCAAAGTTTGCTGAATGAAATCCAAAACTTGTTTCTTACAAATTTTAGGGAGCTGATTCCAAAATAGTGCCTATTTTGCTTTAGCATGTCACACTTTCTCAACAAAATTTGATATGCATTTTGTAGCATTTTTTTTTTTTTTTGCTTTTGACCATCATTGCAAGGTGAAGAAGTTTTGTATTATCCCTTAATTCCTTTCAGAAGTTTTTTTTCATATCTTCTTCTGAGCCAGGATAGAACTATTTGTTCAATTCTCTCTCATATATGAATGATTCTGAACATATTATTTAATGACTAATCGTTTTCAATGTTAGAATTATCGCTAGTGACAGAAAATGCAAAACATAACCCAGCTGTTTTCTGCTATATCTCTGGGTGTTTTACTACAATTGTTATTTTTGTATCATTGAGATACTATTATAGTTTGTATTATTATTTTGAATCATTTTTATTTTGATATTTTCCATTTTAATTTTAAAGTTGTAGTCATTTTTTTATACATCTATATAGTTTTTATTCATTTTTATTTAAGTTTTAGTTAGTTATTTTAATACATCAAGTTACACTCAATTAAAATGTGAAATGTTTTATTTTAAGTAATTTTTTAATGGTTTTATTTTAGATAACCTTGTTAACTACATCCACACAGCAACAGAAAATTGCAGATTGTGAAAAAAAATGCTTATTTCTAAACTTGTGTGTATATAAAGTTCTTTGACATTAAATTGAATATTTTAACATATTTTTCCAATCCTCAGATTGTAAGCAGGGTTATTACAGTATTCAAATAAAGTACTTGATCTACTAAAATAACTAAAACTAAAATAAAAATGGATTAAAAAAAATTATATAAACATATATAGAAAAATCCAAAAATACTAAAATTGATATAGACACACAACAAAATTACTAAAATTGTAACTAAAATGGAAATGGAAAATATATACATGAAAACTGATTTAAAATATGAATGAAAACTACTGTATAATAGCATCTCAGTGATACTAAAATAATAAACGATAAGTTAAAAGGTCATGAAACCCTAAACTAAATTGCCTGAGATTTTAACAGATTTATGTGTGTTGAACATCATTTAAGACAATGTTAGCCTCTGTTAGCTTTAACTATAGGAAAAAAACGGCACATTTTCGGGTTTAAAATATACATCGTGGTGACGTCACAAGTTGTGACGGGTTTTTTTTTTTATGAGAACATTATGTCAACAAATAAGGAAGCAGTTACAATATATACAAATAAAATAATAATAATAAAATAATAATAATAGGATTAATAATAAGG